GCTCATGAATCCATCTTGCTCTGGTTAGCAAATGCAGAAAAAAAAACAAAATATGCCGCAGAAATGACGTGAAGGTCGCGCTGTCGCGTTGTGTCAAGATCGTGTTAGTTATTGTGGGGAATTGCTGCTTGTTTGTGCTAATGGAGACCGAAAAGTTGATATGAGAAAATCAAAGACTGAGATTGTGTCATAATGTAGCTCATGTCATAATGTAGCTCATGGCATAATGTTGCTCATGGCATTATGTTGCTCATGTCATAATGCAGCTCATGTCATAATGCAGCTCATGTCATAATGTAGCTCATGTCATAATGTAGCTCATATCGTAATGTAGATCATGTCATAATGTAGCTCATATCATAATGTAGCTCCTGTCATAATGTAGCTCCTGTCATAATGTAGCTCATTTCATAATGTAGCTCATGTCATAATGTAGTTCATGTCGCATGTCATAATGTAGCTCATGTCATAATGTAGCTCAGTTCATAGTATAGCTCATGTCATAATGTAGCTCATGTCATAATGTAGCTCAATAGCTCATGACATAATATAGCTCATGTCATAATGTAGATCATGTCATACTATAGCTCAATATATAAGGATTTTATAAAAAAATTGAACTTCCTAAGTTAAGTTCAATATTAAAAGAATAATATTCGATTATTTATGTTTGTATCTCTAAATGATGACTAATTCGACGTATATTTTCACTAGTTTCATTTAATTAGTCAATTAATTGTATTATTGTAATTAAATCAAATGAATTTATTTTTAACCTTGGGTTAGATTGTTTCAATTACTTTTTTCAGCTTCTGAACACTGCGCGGACTGCGCCTTGGGAAGATGCAAGCATTAGCGCAGCTGATGGAATTTATTAGTCTCATGGGTATTAAAAAAAAGACCTAGCTTGGGAAAATCTCGGGTGTTTCCTTTAATATTAAACAACGGTTGGTCTAATCTTATGTTATGATTTTTTCTATAATTAAACCAATAATTGATAGGTTTCTCTAGCACTTAGTGTTTTGAGATATTTGTATGCATATTTACAATGATAATTTGCCAAATTTAATGAATATGACTGGTTTAAGGTTTAAGTAATTCATTTGAATTGTAACTTTTTTCTGAAGGAAATGAAAGATTACATTGCCCTTGTTTCTTTAGGAATGAAGATTATCACTCGATGATCTGTGTGTTTGTCTGCTTTGTTCGGTCATTATTATTGTTTATAAGCAGCTGAGAAGTAGATTTCTGTGTTATTTCGGCACCATTTCTAGGTAATAGGGAAATTTTAAGCAAGTTTTTTTTTTAGGTCTAACAATGCTTTAAGGTTTAAATAATTTATTTGAATAGTAACTTTTTTCTGAGGGAAATGAAAGATTACATTGCCTTCGTTTTTAGTTTATTATAGTTTATAAGTTAGATTAGTTTATTCATGAGAAGTGCTTGTTCATACATTTTTTGTTCGTTTATGTGTTCCTTAAGGTTATTTATTCTTTGTTCTTTTTCTCTTAGAGAGTGTGGAACTACAGATTCAAGAAAGTGGATGCGAAAATGTCTTTTATTGCAAGCCTATGTTGTGGTCCACGTTAAAGTACTAAAAGCACGGCTGGCCGAACCTGGGTGACCCCGGCATAATTGGTGCCGTGAAACTCCAGCCCGTGACTTCCCCGCGCCAACACTTGCCTAACCAGTTCTCCTTCATGTTCTAACTGTGGTGTTCATTTTTTTTCCTTGAGCCTTGTATTTCACGCGAAGGTTGTAAACAACCTTCGCGACCTCTTGTTCGAGTGTCTTAGTTTCTGTCGCTTGTCACTTGTCCCTCATTATCACTTCGTCTCTTTGAGATGCTAACGCTGCTTCCTTCGAGCCAGCTTCAGCGGGCTGGACAATTGAGACCTTCCGCCCCTTGTGGGTGATGAACAATTTTTGATTTGAGAAGCTTGCGATAACTGAGACCTTCCACCCCTTTGGTGATGTTCATCTTGACTTTCGGTGCGAGATAGCTAAAGCGCTAGTAAACATTTGGCCACTAAACGAACTTCCAATTTTCTTTTCAAACAAGAAGAAGCAATCAGGTCTCACGACCTGATCAGCCGCTTCAAACGCTAGTTAATAAGTCAGAAATTAGCGAAGAGCTCCTACTTCAAATGAAATCTGCAGTGAAGGTTAATGCTTCCGACGTTTTCTTTGAAATCGATGTCACGAAAATTATTTCACCAACTTCTTGATCAGCTGTGGATGCCACTAACTCCTCTTGCACATGTTGATCTTTGCAGGTGTCTTCATTTGGCTGGATGATCAGCTAATGATTGGATAGGATGATAGGGTATCATTTACTACCTAGAGGTCCAGGTTCATTTATCAGATTAAACCTGCGAGTCCAAATAACACTAGTAAAACCGGTGATAGCGTAACTCTCAGTCCGGGCTAAATGCAAAACATGAAAACTAAGAGTTCTAGTGATAAAAGATGAAAACTGTGATGTATTTATCCAGATGATGTAGACTTGGTTCTCTAATCGCCAGCGAGAGTATGCACTTCTCGTCCTGTCCAAAATCATTTCCTAGCGTTACTCCGAGAATGGCGCTTCCAAAGTTTCTCTCATCAGGCGAAGTAAAGGCAGGCACGTGTACATGATTATCGACGGTCTTTCTTGTCCTGCAAAGTTCAGAAGCTACGAAGACTGAAATCGCTCGGAAGTGATGAAGTTGTTAACTGCACTGGAACTAAAGCTATCCAGGATTTGCACAACTGAGTACAGGGCCTCGCAGCAGTGATATTACTACTACAATTCTCTCGTTTATGTTCACTTCATCCTTAATTAATATCCCTACTATTTCTGGATCTTGTTGAGAATACGCATGTTTGTTTGTATTTTGACGTGGCAGTCCCAAGCAAGGCTGAAGCGACACGGAACTGACAGCGCGACTCGTGTAAATGTCTATGCGTGACGTGATAACTAATAGTTATCCTAGTACACTGCAAAGCTGTATGTGTTGAGAGGTACTTCTGCGTTTTTCAGGGAAGTGAATAATTAACTTGACTGAATGAGTAACTGATCTGAAAGATCTTCTCCACGCTGCACGAGTCATAGAGTCAAGCTGGATGCAGGCATGAAAAACTGTGCTACTGTATCGACGAATCCTGTCGATAACTAGAATATGAAAGAAGAGCGAACGACTAGAGCCACGGTTATCAATTAAAGATATGTCGGTATGAAAGTGAAATAACTACGGTAGCATCTAATAATCGTTTAAGGCAACTGTCAGTTACAATCTTGATGCAGATAAGTGCGGGTAGAGAACGTTATCTTTTGATCTGTAGTGACTCGAATCTACGTATATTTCGCTCTGTCTTCTCTTGTGAAAGTCGTAATTAATTTTATCAAATCTTCAAATTCGTTTATCGATTTCTTTACCTTTATTTAACATATCTATCCTGAACTCGCCTGCTTATTTAGGATTTTATTAAATTATCTATTAGATAATTATGAAAATATTCAGTCAGGAAATATTTTGAATTTTCGAACACGAATAACACTCTTGTAATTTCTGAAAAATATAATTCAGTAAACGACGAAAATACTTTCATGTCTGAATCGCACCATCAAATATTGCGAATTCGGTTTACAGTGCCCATTGCGTAAACATTAGCCCAGTTCGCCGGGACTCGGACTTCGCGCAAAAGTTTTGTTTCACCCAAGAAGAAAGGCAGGAGCCAGGATGGCGACTGCTCTTAGTGCTCTCGAACAAACCACGGTTGTGGCAGGCACTGGAGATTTTGAGGGTACGTGAGTTGTGTAACTTACTAAACTTTACCGTTTTTTTCTTTTAGTAAGGATGTTAGGGAACTGAAAGATTCAATTTACGTGTAATCGTTATCGGCTTGATGTTCGTCCTTCGTCGAGTCTAAAGGAATCTATGGCCAACTCATTGATCGTGAGTCGTGAGACCATATGTGTTAAAAATTTGTTACATTGGAGCGGCAAGATTTCAGAAACAAGTAGGAAAATTCCAATTCCAATGTTGCTATACATTGTACATAGCTAGCAGCTTAGCTAATTCTTATAAGGCTATAAGTAGTCTTTAAATAACTATTTTACTATTTGTTATATATCAGGGTTGGTGATTTTTTTATTTTTTTTTTAAATAAAAAATAAAAAAATGAAATTTTTATTTTTTCATGATTTTTATTTATTTATTTGATTTTTTCAATTTTTTTGTCATTTTGAAAGGTTATTTTTTTATGTTGCAATTAGCCTACTAACAATAACAGTATATGGATCATGATGGATGGCTAAAAAGGGCACTTTTTGCCTTCAACAATGGCCAATGGGCCAAGGTGGTGTTTAACTCCTAGGGATTTTTGGGTAATCAATTCTTGATAAGTCTACTCATTAGCTTCGTAAAGTTTGCATGGAGCAAGGTAATGAGCTAAATATTGACCATTTAACTGGCTTCAATATAAAAGAAAACACTTCAGGAATGCAGATCTTCTAAACATTGAAGAGTCACACAACAGATAGGTAGCTGATAGCACAGTGAACAGCACTATCAATAGATCTACTAGTTTTTTGTCCTATAAATCTACCAGACTTTACCCTCTATACACACCAACTAGTAGTGACTGAGTGACTTACTGCACTGTTCCCATTTAATTCAGACCAATAAACCAATACTGAACAAAAACTGAATGATAACCAAACAAACCTGAAAAATGACTTGAAATGAGACTTAATTGTTGTGAGAAAAGCTAACACTGTTTGAAATAAACATTTGCACAATTCAAATATTTTATATCCATTCACTGTTTTTAATTATTTTGTATATAGTCTTATAATTGTAATTGTTTTATTTCTAATTTTAAATTCACATATTTAAAGATTGAAATTAAATATTTTAATTAGAAACCGTCAAACGGGGTAAAAAGGGATGGGCGGGGTAATTAGGGACAGTCTTCCAACATTTTTTAGAAATGTTGTAGCAGCTAAACTAATCAGAATATTGCAAAATTAAAAATAATAGTGTAAAGTTCCACATTTTTACTATCTATGCAGTATAAAGCAAGTTGAGAAATCATACATTTATCACCTCTAGAAAATCCCTGAAAAAAGTGTGAAGAGTGAGATTTTGGAAAAGTACCTCTGCTAAGGTGTGTAGCAGAAAAAATATTTGTCGTATTGAATAATCTTACCTACATAGAAGTTGCACACAGGTGTTGGCTTAAAAATGTGATTGACATAATTTGCATATCTCATTAAAAAAATGGCGGCCATTTCCGCAAAACGGGGTAATAAGGGACACCCTTAAAACTGCATTTACAGTAGAGCCTTGGTTAGCAAAGGCTCCAGTTAATGAAAAAATCAATTAACAACAAAGAAATTTGATTACATTTACCTTGCTCAGTGAAAAAAATTTCACTTAAGAAAAAATTACTGCATCTGTCATCACAAAATTGTGCATAGAATGTCATAGATAAAATTGAGCACTGTGCAACAAAGAATGAAAAATAATAACCTAAACTATGATTTGTTTCTCCAAAAAATATGATGGTTTTCACAAAAATATTCCTTCCTGTTTCAGGTATGTTTTTTACAATCTTTATTTTATAGTAAAATCACTCAACTTGATTAAAATTGTGTGGAATTACAAGCCATCTTGTAAGCTTACAGATACAGAAGAAATGCTACATGGCTGCCGATATTAAGCTTGCAGTGGACAAGGTCGTTGTTAATGCTCAATGGCATGTCCATGGATACAGTAATATCACATTAATAGTATGGTAATTAATGAATATAGTAATATCATATCAATAAGGGAAAACAAGTAAAAATCACATAAAATGTCATTTATTCTACATATACATCATCTACAATGAAAGAGGAGGACTTTAGACACTGTTAGTAATACATGAGTACACTCTGCATGCTTCAAGCGTTTTAAAATTGAGTTTTATCTCAAGTGTCTCTAATTACCCCATTTCCAGATTAATTCTGGAGCCTTTTATATTGTGTCTAGCACCCTACTAATAGCATTTGGAATTTTTTGGAGATGCCATATGATAGCCCTCGCAAAGATCTTTAAAATGAGCCTAAACTTGTTTATGAAATGTTTCATGGTAAGAAGTTATTAACAAAAAACGCTCAAAACCGTCCCTTTTAACCCAATTTGATGGTACTCGTATTAGGGTGGAAAATCTTTCTAATTGCCTAAAAGTCAATGCAAGCTCAACCTCTCAATATACAGGGTGGGGCAGAACCAATTGAGCAGTTTTGAGGTAAAATAAAATTGTAATGGAGGTACATAAAGAAGAAAGTTTATTTTTTTCAGAGGTTAGCATAATATACCATTTAGAATACTTATGTTTTGAAAACAATATCAGAAAGATGGGGGCCGTTAGCTGCAACACAATGTTGGAGGAGGGAGGGACCGTGACAGTGAATTCCAATCGCTATGCTGCAATATTGCAAAATTTCTTGCAGCCCAGGATGGAAAACATTGTTGAAAATGAAGCATTGGGAGATGTGTGGTTCCAGCAGGATGGGGCTGCAGCTCACATAGCCCAAATGTCACTCAATGTTTTGAAACGCATGTTCCTAGACTCTGAGGGGTGATTTACAGTGGCCTGCGAGGTCACCTGATTTGAGCATATGCAATTTATTTCTTTGGGGACATCTAAAAGAAAGGGTGTTCAGAAGTCGCCCTCACACCCTACCACAGCTAAGGGAACAGATTATTGCAGCAGAGGTTATGGCCATACCTCGCCATATGTGTGAACGTGCAGTAGAAAATTTCCAAGAACGACTCCAACAGTGTGATGCAGCTAACGAACCCCATCTTCCTGATATTGTTTTCAAAACATAAGTATTTCAAATGGTATATTATGCTAATCTTGAGGAAAATAAACTTTCTTGTTTAAGTACCACCATTACTCTTTTATTTTGCCTCAAAACTGTTCAATCAGTTCTGCCCCACCCTGTATAAGCTAGCTAACACATTTGAATTGTATATTGTAATCAATATATAACAAATAGTCAAATAGTTAAAGACTACTTATAGCCTTATAGGAATTAGCTAAGCTGCTGGGCTATGCACAATGTATTGCACACTTGATGCCTCTGTACCAAAAAACATGTTCCCAAGCTCTGAGGGGTGATTTACAGTGGCCTGCGAGGTCACCTGATTTGAGCATATGCAATTTATTTCTTTGGGGACATCTAAAAGAAAGGGTGTTCAGAAGTCGCCCTCACACCCTACCACAGCTAAGAGAACAGATTTTTGTAGCAGAGGTTATGGCCAGACCTTGCCATATGTGTGAACGTGCTGTAGGAAACTTCCGAGAATGACTCCAACAGTGTGATGCAGCTAACAAACACCATCTTCCTGATATTGTTTCAAAACATAAGTATTTTAAATTGTATGTTATGCTAATTTCAAGAAAAATAAACTTTCTTCTTTATTCAACTACATTACCGGTACTCATTTATTTCGCCTCAAAACTGCTCAGTCGGTTTGGCCCCACCCTGTATAAGCTAGCTAACACATTTAAATTGTATATTGCAATCAATATAAAACAAATGGTCAAATAGTTAAAGACTACTTATAGCCTTATAAGAATTAGCTAAGCTGCTAGCTATGTACAATATATTGCAACACTTGATGCCTCTGTACCAAAAACATTCAATTTATTGGAACCTAATATGTACGCACTAAAGGCAACAAGTTTATATACCAATTTGTCATTCATAATACATTTATCCTAAACCATGAATAACAATACCTCAAAATAAATTATAGACTGCCACTCAATATATTTAAATCTATAAAAAATAAAAAAAAATCATGATTTTTTATGAAAAAATCGTGATTTTTTATAAAAAAATCAAATGATTTAATCAAATGATTTAATCACTTTGATTTAATCCTTGCCAACCCTTTTATATATTAATCACATTATACAATTTACATGTGTTTGCTAGCTTAAATATTGAGAGGTTGAGATTGTATTGACCTTTTAGAAATTTTGAGAGGTTTTCCACTCTAATACGAGTATTCTGATTAAAATATTAAATTTCAATTTTTAAATATGTGAATTTGTAACTAGAAACAAAACAATTACAATTATAAAACTAAATATAAAATAATTAAATGCAGCGAATGAAAATGAAATGTTTGAATTGTGTACATTTTTATTTCAGTGTTAGCTTTTCTTATAACATAAGGGTCATTTCAAGTTGTTTGACGTTTGTTGGTTGTCATTCAGTTTATGTTTAGTATTGGTTTAATTGTCTGAATCAAATGGGAACAGTGCAGTCAGTCACTACTAGTCTAATGTGTTTAGAGGGTAGAGTCTGGTAGATTTATAGTATATTAAACTAGTAGATCTATTGGTAGTGCTGTGCACTACTGACTGTGCTATCAGCTACCTATCTGTTATATAATGTGACAAAAATGTTTAGAAGATCCGCATTCCTGAAGTGTTGTTGTATATTGAAGCCAGTTAAATGGTCAATATTTAGCTCGTTACCTTGCTCCATACAAACTTCCTAAAACTAATGAATAGACTTCTCAATAATTGTTTACTCAAAAGTCCCAAAGCCATCCATATACTGTTATTGTTAGTGTGCTAATTTCAACATAGTCACATTTCAAAAAGACAAAAAAGCTGAAAAAACAAAAAGTAATCGATTTTTCATTTTTTAGATTGAAAAAATAAAAAAATCACCCACCCTGATTTGCTCTCAATCAGAACATTAGATCCCCCACCTCTACTGCCATGATAATGAGTGTCATAATATAATGATATATGCACACAAACTTAGGCATCTCTTTCTTCTTTTACAATCTCAGGCTGTCCTTTCTTTCCATTCCTCAATTCTATACTTTTGAAGCACATAATTTCACTCTCTTTTCTATTTCTTTCCCCCATTCGTTGACATCACCTTTGATCCCTGTTACACCCTGTACTGTCATTAGCCATTCCTCTTTTGATCTTTATGCCCAGAGTTGGCTCATGTATCATGTTAGTAACTCACATTTGGTTTTGTTTCCCCGCAGCACAACAATACTGATGTCAAATGCAAATTTATATGTAATAATTTACTCTCAATTGCAGCTCTGCAGAAATATAAGACCACTGATGCCACTACAAGCATATCTGCAATGCTGGCAGCTGCAGCCATGCCGCAGTATGAAGAACTCATAGAAGCGTCTGTAGAGTATGGCAAACAGAATGGCAGGTTAGTTATTCAGTAGTTATGTCATATATTTAAGTCTTTATATTATTAATTTGCGGCATATTTTTACCTTGAATATTGCTGAAATTGAGCTGGTGAATTAATTTCCAGGAACAAATTTTCATTGCTTTTAGTTTTGAACTTATGAGCAGGACTTCAAATCTTTAGTACTCGACACTTTTTTTTGAAAACAAATAATTCAATAAAATTCATCATGTTCTGTCTAGATCTAAATAATTTTGAATGCCCTATTTTCTGTGTTTATTTTCTTCCTGATTTGCCTGTGTCCTTCCAGGTCTTCCGAGGCTGCTATGGACAAGCTATTTGTCCTGTTTGGATGTGAAATTCTGAAGATCATACCCGGACGTGTGGGCATTGAAGTGGATGCTCGTCTCAGCTTCGACATGGAGGCAATAATTGCCAAAGCTCTAAAATTCATAGAGCTTTTCAAGGAGGATGGTGTTGACAAAGACCGCATCCTCATCAAAATAGCATCTACGTGGGAGGGCATCCAGGCTGCCAAGTGAGATCACCTTTCACTCATTAAAAATTTGAAATAAAATTTCAATTTAATAATTTTTAATTAATTCAATTTAATAATTTAACTTCAATTTACTCCCTTATTGTTTATTCTTTATTTTTTCTTCAAACTAAAGAAACTCTCAAACTAATTTTTAAGAAAAAATAAAGTTTAGTTTTAAAGAAAGTTTAGGTGCTTTATAGTTAGTTTAGTTTAACTAATCTGATAGTTGTAAAATTAACATTGAAAATTTGCTGCTCTCTTCAGAGAGCTCTAATGCTATATTTTGAAACGGTCATTGATGTCGTGTCTACTGAGCAGGGTGCTAGAGTCTGAGCACGGCGTTCACTGCAACATGACCCTTTTGGTCAGCTTTGATCAAGCAGTGGCTTGTGCTGAGGCTGGAGTGACTCTCATTTCGCCTTCCGTTGGCAGGATCTTGGACTGGTGAGTGAATTTTACGTTGTTGACTCATTGTTTGGACATCTAATAAAGTTGATCAACAGATAATATTGGAGATTAACTAGTACATTCTCTTGACTACGCTGATCGTGTGAAATATATAATTATGTCTGATTGAACATTGAGTGTGATTAAACAAGTTGGCCTAAAACTGTACACTCGCTTGAATGGTAAATTCCATATTAAATGAACCTTAGTTTAGGAATTCTTCATTTTAATTATTGTTCGTTCGAGTTGAATCTCATACCGTGTTGGGGAACTCGGTTTTCCTTCATTCTGCAAGTTCTGCTCGTTCAAACCCACCATACCCGAATGTAATTTGCTGTAGCAAATCCAAATGACAGAAAAGCAAATTCCCTAGATATCTTTCCTGAACAGTACAATGCATGTATGGTTTTCAGGCACGTCACGAACACCGGCACTAAGTCGTATGCTGCTCCTGAAGACCCTGGAGTGGTGAGCGTGACTCGTATCTACAACTACTACAAGAAGTTCGAATATCCAACGGCAGTGATGGGCGCCTCTTTCAGGAACGTCGGTGAGTTATTCCTTCGTGAATACCTCTTCTCCGTGTTTTTTTTTTATATGCTCCTAATTCCTATGCTTAGAATGAAAAAAAAATTATAATAAAACTTGAAGGTTATTGAAGGCAGTTGGAAGTAGAACGGTGAGGCAAGTAGTTGACTAATTGTTATGTAGCAAATCCAAATGACAGAAAAGCAAATTCCCTAGATATCTTTCCTGAACAGTACAATGCATGTATGGTTTTCAGGCACGTCACGAACACCGGCACTAAGTCGTATGCTGCTCCTGAAGACCCTGGAGTGGTGAGCGTGACTCGTATCTACAACTACTACAAGAAGTTCGAATATCCAACGGCAGTGATGGGCGCCTCTTTCAGGAACGTCGGTGAGTTATTCCTTCGTGAATACCTCTTCTCCGTGTTTTTTTATATGCTCCTAATTCCTATGCTTAGAATGAAAAAAAATTATAAAACTTGAAGGTTATTGAAGGCAGTTGGAAGTAGAACGGTGAGGCAAGTAGTTGACTAATTGTTGATTGTTAATAATATAATTTGAGTTATTTTAAGTTGATTGTTGGGTAGGTAATTCTAGTTTGACTTACGTGCTGTTGAAGAACAAGTATATGCGCTCAATTCTTGCTTTGCAACAATTTCTAAGCATAAGCAACTAATTTTTCTCAGTTGCATTTAGCTTGACTGTGTTTGAGACAGACGAGCCGTAATCAATTCGTTCTCTCTCATACAGTCACAAATAGCGTGCTCTACTCGGAAAAATATATTATGTTACATGGTGATGCTGGTACTAGGGGTTTTTTACAGGTTTAGCATGAAACGAACCTTCGTTGCTGTTGATGTTATTCGACTTCATTATGCTACCGATGTCATTACTTGATGTCCGTAGCATCATTCTTCGTTTGTCATGTTTCTAGCCTTGTGGCTTATGCGAATTTCGGAACATAACGATTGACCCCGTCGTTTAGGTGAGATCCGGGAGCTGTGCGGCTGCGACCTTCTCACGATCAGCCCCAAGCTGCTGGCCGAGCTTCAGGACTCCACTGCCCCCACGCCCCGCAAGCTCTGCCCTCAAGCCGGTAACTTTATCTCGCAAAATGAGGTCTCGTATGTATTCTGTTCTTGGTAGAATGAGATTATTATTTTTCCATTATTACGTGTTCAAGTGCTTATGAATTTTCACGCTTATAAATTTACACGGAGTTCTTTCTATTGCAGCGACCGAGTGTAAGCTGTCGAAAGTTTTGCCATTGCCAGAAGCGGAATTTCGGCGGAAGCTGAACGAAGACCAAATGGCGACGGAACAACTCTGCGCCGGCATCCGTCAATTTTCCATGGACGCCATAAAGTTGGAAGAGCTCCTGAAAGCGAGGATGCAAGGTAAGCGAGGCATTAATCACAATCATTTCCTAGACATTCTAATTTGTCACAACTTTGTTTTGCTGTATTTTATTTTTATTTATGTAGCTTTTCTAATGTTCCTCTTACTATGGAGTATTCCGTATTCTATTTCTCAATATTGATCTATTTCGATAGTAGAAATAATATTTGGTATTGGACATTTTTGAGAATGAATAAAAATTTACATTGAATTATTTTGAGTTGTAATTCCACGTTGTTGGCATGTTCAAATGGTATCTTGTGCCTTGGTTCGAAGGAGACTTTCTGACGTTGCTTTATGTTCCAAAGCATTTAGGTTAATTTCTTGTTCTAATCATATTACTGGAAATATATATTATTTTATTTTCTTGGAGATGTATTATGATTTTTCGGCCGTGATTCCGCTTCATGCTTCATTGATTCCTTTTGTTTTTTTCTGTTTTGATATTTTTTAGCGTTTGAAATTTGATTTAAATATGACAATCACAAATTAATTTTGTAAGTAGGATTGTTTATTGGCGTTCTCTACGTCATTTCCGTACTGCTGGTGCTTGCTGCGAATTGCTTATATTATTGGTCTACTGTGATTATATTTTTTTATTCTTATATTTTTTAAGTTATTTTTTGTTCGTTGTTAGCAATATTTACCTTGAATTTAGAACCCATTTTATTTTCTTATTGCATGAAACTTTTAGGGTCTTTTCAGAATCACGGATTTGATCCGTGCAAAAGAATGTATACTGAAGTGTAAGGATATTGGGGATTTTTCCTATGGTTTAGAAAACTTTTAAAAGTTATTACTAGAAAGCCATCGAGTTCTCGAGTAGCTGGATTTTTGTGCCTGGTATCTTCTTACAGTAAACAATATAGACGTACAGTAAACAATATAGACAATTATTATGTTTACGGTTGTATGCTGTTAAAATGGACAATTTTTGTAGGATTTTCGCCATTTATAGGTATTAATTTGAAGTATTAAAGAATATTTTGACACCGTCCTTGTTTATTCCACTCAGCTTCTTTCTGGATGAAATTGGCAAGATGGCCGGTGGTCCGCCACTTGCGTCGCAGTGACAAGAAGAAAGGCAGGATGGCGACTGCTCTTAGTGCTCTCGAACAACTGAGAGAATATACCACGGTTGTGGCAGACACTGGAGATTTTGAGGGTACGTGAGTAGTGTAACTAACTAAACTTTGCCGTGTTTTTCTTTCAGTAAAGTTGTTAGGGAACCGTAAATAGATTCAATTTACGTGTGATCGTTATCGGCTTGATGTTCGTCCTTCGTCGAGACTAAAGGGATCTATGGCTGATGCCATAAGTGATGGCAGCAGGTACCTATGAGGCTGTGCAGTGCTGTCAGGGCCACTATCATCGCAATCCATTTGTCCCCTGTTCTCTCATACATTACTCTCACTCCTCTGTGTCCTCTCATCCAGTATCATACTTATCATTATCAGGCTCTCCCTCATATGCATCGCGTCACACTCCATCATCAGGTGCTCCACTGTTTCCCTCTCACAATTTCACTTCTGTCACACAAACAAATATCCTCTCCTTTCATTCCACCTGTATGTCTGTGCATTCACACTCAAAACATTTGCTCCAGCCCTCCAGGGTTGGTAATGATTAAATCATTTGATTTTTTATAAAAAATTGTGATTTTTTTTATTTTTGATTTTTTATACATTTTAATATATTGAGTGGCAGTCTTGAATTTATTTTGAGGTATTGTTATTCATGGTTTAGTATAATAGCGAGTGTCGTCATATAATGATATATGCACACATACTTTGGCATCTCTTTCATCTTTTACAATCTCAGGCTGTCCTTTCTTTCCATTCCTCAATTCTATACTTTTGAAGCACATAATTTCACTCTCTTTTCTATTTCTTTCCCCCATTCGTTGACATCACCTTTGATCCCTGTTACACCCTTCTCTTATACACATCT